CACTTCAGTATCAGTTAACTCTGTCAGATGTTGACTGTTGTCACTGTGTATTACATCTTTCACAGGGATTAGGATGTGCCTGTAAGAATTTCTGTTCACTTCAGTATCAGTTAACTCTGTCAGATATGGATGCATGTCACTGTGTACTACATCTCTCACAGAAAGTGGGAGGTGCTTGTAAGGTTTTTTGTTCACTTCAATATCAGTTAACTCTGCCAGCTGTTGACTGTTGTTACTGTGTACTACATCTTTCGCAGGGAGTGAGATGCTCTTGTAAGGTTTTCTGTTCACTTCAGTATCAGTTAATTCGGTCAGATGTGGACTGCTTTCACTGTATACTACATCTTTCATAAGGAGTGGGATATTCTTGTAAGGTTTTCTGTACACTTCAGTATCAGTTATCTCTACCAGATGTTGACTGCCGTCAGTTAATTCGACCAAATGTGGACTGGTGTCACTGTGTACTACATCTCTCATAGGGAGTGGCATGTTCTTGTAAGGTTTTCTGTAAACATCAGTATCACCTAACTCTGCCAGATATTGACTGCTGTCAGTTAATTCGGCCAGATGTTGACTGCTCTTACTGTTTACAACGTTCTGTTTTTGTTTGTTCCTTTCAGCAGTCTTCTGAAAATGTGAAATGTTTGGTGCTGCAGTTAAGTTCTTTTTGGTCAGTGAGCATCTATTATTGTCCCACTCCAGCTGAGTGGCTGTGTTGAAATCATATTTTATGAGAAAAGGTCTTCTTTGAATGTTTGCAGTTTTAACAATTCGTCTCAAAATGTTTTGAAAAATTTCTATATCTGTTTCATCTTCAACATTCAAAGAAGTCACATTTTTACACTGGTCACTTCCTTTTTTTATGTCATCAGAGTGATGCACGTGCATGTTATCTATTTTTCTGAGCTCAACAAGTTTTTCATGATAAGAATGTTTGTTTGGTCGAGTTTTTCCTCTATAATTTTCATCTTTTCTGCTTGTTGTAGCTAAATGATCTATTTGTTCACTAGTTGCTATTAAGTCTTCTTGCTTGCTAAACTGCGGTAAGTTTGATTGGCCAGACTCGATATGCTGTGTTTCTTTTGTATCGCCACTAGTACTGGTCAATAACTTTTCGTTTTTAGCAAGTTGTACTAATCTAGGTAGTCCTGATAATTTGACTAATTCATTACTGTCTTCAATAAATTTGTGACGACCTCGATGGCGGCCAGAGTTAGGCTTACCATTGTCGAAAATACATCCTATTCGGGCACAATTAGGCTTGGCTTGGAAACCGATATGTCCAGTTCGATAAAACCTGGATTTGTTTTGAATAGGGATTAGTCCAGTATTAGGTCTACTTCTTCTTTGGACTGAGCTGTTTCTATATTCACCAGAAGTATTAGGCCTATTTCTTCTCTGGACTGAGCTGTTTCTGTATTCATCAGAAGTATTAGGCCTACTTCTTCTCTGGACTGACCTGTTCTTATATTCACCAGAAGTATTAGGTTTATTTCTTCTCTGGACTGCGCTGTTTCTATATTCACCAGAAGCGTTAGGCCTACTTCTTTTTTGGACTGCGTTGTTCCTGCCCCCAAGAGAAAATGGACGCTTTAAACGGCCAATAGGAACAGGAAGTCGGGATTTGTAGGATGGTTTGATTTTCCTCGTGCAGTTTCTTGCTGAATTCTTTCTCGTTAATTCTAAATATCCCTGCCCCGAAACTCGAGTCTCAATTAACTGCTTTATTGTCTTGGATAAAGTTCCACTTTTACTTTGTAGCTCTGTATCATACTCTAGAAGCACCTCCTGTGGTTTTTGGGATAACTTTTCATCTTCCGTTGTTTTCTTAAAATGGCTAATGTGCTGACTACCCCTAAAAGAATCGAAATATTAGAAATTATGAAAATTATTTTGCTCAGTGAAAACGAATATATTTGATAGAAATATTATAGTTGCTACAGTCAAATATATGACATGCAGAAATAAAATTATTTTATTCAATTTGTTAAAATACGAAACATTTAAAATTTCATTTATGTGAATTTTCTTTAAAATAATTTAGGAATATGACATAGTTTTCATTTCCGTAAACATCAATTATTTTAGACAAATTACTTTCTTCTCCTGAGTGTTTTATGATAATTTAGGGGCTAGAAACTTACACTGGGGAAAAAAATGATTGCACCACCCAATCTTTCACACTTTTCTTGGTTTCTGTAATTTTTTACGAGATTGTGCATCGCGGAAGTGTCAGAACTCATGTAAAACTATTATGGACATTGTGTGGTGTAAGCTGACACATATTTCAGCTATCCAAATACATATAC